GAAAGATGTTTTGTTGGTAAAGATCGAGCAAAAAAAAAAAATATTTGGAATATTTTCGCACATACCACTCAATTCCTATGTATTTACATGTATAACATTTAAGGTTTTTACTTACGATCAATTGGTTATGTTAAAATTTGTTGTAAAATCATAAGTTTTGGGAGGGCTATGACTTTAACAATTAGGAGGAACCACATCGAACTTATGAGTGAAGGAAAAGTAGTCCTTAGATTTAATGCAATGCTAGGGAGATATTCTTTCATGGGTGCAAATTGGTGTTTCTAGGGTGACAGACTAGATCCCTAACCAATTTGATTTAGGGCTTCATACCTGAGATCTAAGATTAAGCCAATTAGAGTGCTATTAGGAGAAGAAGACTTTAGGGTGACAAGCGAGAGGTTTCGCCGTGATGATATAGTTATTTTAAGGAATCAGTCATAGGTTAATTGCGCTAGGTTATACACTCGGAAGAGGGCAACATAGATTTTTTAATTTTATTGTCACTAGCCACATTAGATTCTAAACATCCCATTCCTGCACATTATTTAGATCACCATAAGAGAAAGGTAGTTTTTGCACCTCAAAATTCACCAAACCAATTTATTTATCTAGTTTTAACTTTAGATTTAGATTTATATTTAGGAGTAGTTGTTAGAAAAACACCCTTAATCGACATTCCAAAATAAGAAATGATAGTAGTAGACTAAAATTTAGCCTAAGGGATTTCTTACCTCACTTGTGGAATCGATAATCAGGGTTACGTTAATCAGGACTCCATTAGAGCTCCATATTACTTGAATGATACGTATACTTGCGTAGAACCCCGATTACGTAAACTATAAATCAAATTCAAAACTCTATAACATATCCATTTTACACACTAGCTGCCTAAAGAAACTGGGTCAAGTTTTTGGCCAAGAAACTAAATAAGCGTAATTGCGGATAGGTTAAGTTTTTTGCGCCGTTGCTGGGGCGGCGACGGTAAGAGCTTTAGGAGAATTTTAGTTGAACCTGGAAGACTTAGAATTGGAAATTATATTGTTATTATCTAGTATATTTATTTATTATGAGTTTATTTAAACGAAAATCCAAAATACCAAAACTATTTTTTATTGTTTGAAGTACTGGATATCTATCATATAAGTTAATTCTTTAGAGTTGAATGTGTAGTTCATGCACTGCAAACCTTGAACTATATGACTCAGAACTAGAGAAAACTTGTAGGAGGATTAAAAAACCCTAAGGAGAAAAGTGGCGAGCAATTGAAATATGTATAACCATGGTATTTATCGGGCTGACGAGGTTTAACCAAGCGCTTTATGGGAGGCAACCCATAGGTTATCTGTTTTAATGTGCTTGTGAGTTGTAATTGTTTGTGGTTTGATGTGTTTGTTTTAGTGTGGATTGATTAGTTTGATTAATGTTGGTGGATTGATTTGATCTTTTGTGTATGATGAGTGAAGTGATTCCTTAACTTCTCGTTGTGACTAGACTTTTATTTATTTTCTGGTAGTAGGTTGATTAACTAGTACATTATGAATTAGGTCTTAACCATACTTTAGGATTAATTGAAGATGTGATGAGTTTGGTTATAGAACATGTCCATCTAAATTATGTTACTTCATTTATCTAACCTTATTTTCTTTAATATGGTTCAATAAACCAATTGAAGAATAACCCGAGGATGATCTTACACTACTCTTATAACTGTTAGAGGTGCATACTTAAAAGGATAAGGTGATGCCTGGATTTAGTGCTTGCGAGCCAATATATCAGGGATAATCGTGTCCATGGGGTTAGAGCCAATAAAAGAATTTAAAAGTACATAATTGACCAGTGAAGTGATTCCACTAGAATTGGAAGTAAAGAAAGGAGGTGTGACGAGATGGAGAAAGAATTGATCTCATTTATGTATTGATGTTTGTGTATGTGTTACAACAGTATAGAGGACTTGAGGAACATTAAAATAATTATTTCTATGTTGATACCTGTTGTGCTAGTTAAACTTTTCCTTAGTTTAATTTCATTCTACATGTTTCAGTTTATATTTACTTTCTGCTGCACTTTATTCTGACCTGATGAATACTTATTGATGTTTCTGATAGGCATTTGTGGTAAATAGAATGTTTGAGCTATTTTTATTCCCGCTTATATTTTTTGCACTGAATGCTATACATGTTAAAATCAAGTTTGGGGGGAAGAAAAATATTTTTAAAATTTAACTTTATTAGTCCTCAGTAACCTGTATTTAATTTGATATCACTTTAAAATGACTTGTGGTATATGGTGTTATCTTTAGTTTATTATAATTTTGATTTTAGGAATGTTAGAAAAAAAACTTAGTTGGGATCCTATGTGAAGAAAACTATTCTACCGTTAAGATATTTTGTAGAAAACATTAGAAAAATAATTTTTTTATTTATGGTAGAAAGGAGTTGAATATTTGAAAAGCTAAGATTCTTAGATTTACACTTTATGAGAATTGAGCCTTTATTGAATATTTTTTAAAAAAAAAATATTACTTACACATTTAGAAAGTGAAAGAAAGTTTTTAGTTTTTAACTTTATGAAGAGAATAGTGAAATTCAAAACTATTAAAGGACTATCAATATATAGTAATCCTCACATGAAAATATAAAGGATTGAAACAAGGCCCTAAAAATAGTAAAAAGAAATGAAAAGTGAGAGAAGATTGAGGAAAGCCTCATCAAAAATTGGTTTCACTTGAATCTTTTAAAAAAAAAAGACTTAAAAACAATCTTATACTTATTATTGATTTATTAGCATTACATAGATCAACAAGAGACTTTGTTGGAGAGATTTTCATCTTCCTGTCATAGGGAAAAATCTATGTATTGTGTTGTTAATTATCTTGTACTTGTTGTAAACACTTATCTAGTGAATTTGCTTTGATTTAATGAAGCTTCCTGTTATGTGTTACGCCTCCTTTGTGAAGTAGAACTCTTGTAGTTTTCTTTTGCAATGAATTCGATGAATGCTTGGAATATTAGGATGCATGTTAGAATAGGATTTTTTATATCCTAGTATTGGTTCTTACTTCATGTTTTATTTACTAATTAATTTGGCTAATTAGCATGTTAAAATTTATTGTAAAACCATAAGTTTCAGCAGGGTTATGGCTTTAACAACTAGAAGGAACCACATTGAATTTATGGGTGAAGAAAAAATAGTCCTAAAATTCAATACAATGTTAGAGAGAAATTCGTTGATAGGTGCAAATTGGTGTTTCTAGGGTGACAGGCTAGATTCCTAACCAATTTGATCTAGGACTTCGTACCTTAAATATAACATTAAGCCAATTCGAGTATTATTAGGAGAGGGAGACTTTAGTGTGATGGGCTAGAAGTTTCATTGTGATAACCTAGTTATTTTAAGGAATCGACCCTAGGTTAACTGAGCTACATTATACACATGGAAGAGGGCAACTTAGATTTTTTCTCTTATTGTCACTAACCACATTATATTCTAAGTATCTCATTTTTACACATTATCTAGGACACAACAAGAGAAAGGTAGATTTTACCCCTCAAACTTCACCAAACTAATTTATCTAGTTAGGTTTAACTTTAGATTTAGATTTTTATTTTAGAGTAGTTGTTAGAAAAACACCCTTAATCGACATTCCAAATTAAGACCTGATAGTAGTATAATAGAACATAGCCTAAAGTGTTTCTTACCTCATTTTCCTATGGGATCGATAATTGGGACTCCATTAGAGCCCTATATTACTTGAAAGATGTGTATACTTGTGTAGAACTCCTAGTGTGTAAACTATAAATCAAATTCTAAACTCTATAACATATCCATTTTGTTCACTAGCCACCTATAGAATTTGGGTCAAGTTTTTTGGCCAGGAAACTAAATAACTGCATAACTGCGGATTGAGTCAAATATCTTAGCTAAATTTCTAATTCCTACTCTTAGTTTATCAACCCATTGAATATTCTGAATGAGAATAACAATTGAAGTAGTATAATTCTAAAAAAATTATTGTTCCTTTCAATCTAAATTTGAGCAATAATTTGAATTGCAAGGAGCTATAATTTTCTTAAGCATTTAAGTAGCAAAACTATCTGCACAGTAGAAAACCTAGAAAATGATGCCACTGAAAAGAAATAATATTCCTTTGGGAATACATTTTCTTAGTTAAGCTTGTGAGGGAGGAAATTCAAAGAATGAGTGTGAGTTTCACGAGAAAAGAGGTAGAAGACATAATTTTATGTAATTGAAATGCCTCTAGGTGTATGAATATCACTAGTTTTAAGCCCTCAATGAATAAAATTTTAATTAGAATTGAAAAATATGAAATAATGATCCTCAAACTATAGATATTTTTTCTAATAAATTGTAGAGAAGTTGTTCTAAATAAAAGGACATACCCTTTTATGTTCATAGTAATCATGACCTTACTTGATATATGACTTTAAATTATCTTGAATATAAATTTGATGTATAAGATGAGAGCAAAAGGTAGGGCAAAGTGAAAATAATTGAGCCAAACATCCCAAAAAGTTAAATGCCTTCAAGCTAAGGGTCAAAATAGGAAAATAGATTATGATTAAAGTTAATATGAAAAGATAAATAATATCTAATTCTCACAACCATTTTTGGTAGATTCCTCTGAAAAGATTGAAGTTATAGAGTTTGTCTTATA